CGGTTCGAGGGTCACCGGTGCCCACCCGGGTGGAGTTTGCATGTTCTCCCCGTGCTTGCATAGGTTTCCTCCAGGTACTCCTGTTTCCCTCACAATCCCAAAAACATGCGGTTAGGTGTAATTGAATAATTTAAATTCCCCTTAGGTGTGAATGTGTGCGTTGACCTGCAAGGGACTGGCGACCTTTCCAGGGTGTACCCCTGTCTTTTCACTGTCGTAGTTAAAAATCCCTGCTTCCTGTTACTGCCGGATGTATCTCTGGGATTCAACATCACAACAGACAGGTTTAACTCTGCGAAAGTGCAGGGGTGGATGTATGAAAGTTTAAAAAGTGCTATTTTAAAGTACTGCTGAATTGCAATTACATATTTACATTCATGTTAGTGCTGTCAATAGATCAAAACAATTCACAAATTAATCACAATTAAAAGACTGAAACTTTTTGGATATGTGAATGTAAATAATAAATGCAAACCCAAGACAAAGAAACTCTTTTGCTTACGACTCTTTTTCTTGTACCTGCAATAAACCATCAATATCCTCCAAATTAACTGTTGGTTTGAAAACCATATTTATTATAGTTTATTGATCACAAAAACAAGTAATGTAAACCCAAAAGAAAGCATCCTTCGTAGACAAAACCTACTAAACTAAACTAAAAGAACAAATGACGAGACTTTGTTCACAAACTCACTATAGTCACAGGAAGGGCTTGCGTTGTCTGACTGCGATCAGTAGTGATAAACATTGGTCCCATGCCAAGCTCACCTAGGCACAGGAATATTTACACAGGATAACACGAAGCTCCTGGGGAGTTTTGAAAGTAAATAGGTAGCCAGATGGGAAGGGACAGACAGCAGGGAAACACAGAATCAGCGAATCATTAGACAGAAATCCGACCACATGACCAAGGCGTAAGTAAATACACGTGGAAAACTTTAAAATGCGTGAAAAGGCAGAAAAAAAAGGCATTAATGTGAACAAAAGTGCTTCCTTGGTCTTATCCATAATTCTTTGCATGTTGAACACATGGAAATACAAAGACACTGCAACTGATGTATCTCAAATTAATCGTATGATTATTGTTTTGATGTTATAGTTATAGTGTAGTTGTTAAATTTTACTCAAAATGGTCTTAAAAGAAAAACCAAAACTTCTGTTCATTCCTGGGACTAAGGAAAAATCTTGTGAATGTATTTTTCTTCTTTAATTATTGAAATTTGATTAGTTTTTATGAGTCACAATACATACAAAATTAAAATGCTAATGTAAAAATAATTGTTACGGGCGAAAAGAAAAATTGTGTTGGCATTCCATGGGACATATGTTACTCATTTTAGTGCTTTTCATGTTTGCAATTATGAGGAAAAACATTGTTTTAGACACAAATCAAAGACTGTGTTCGATTAAATGCTTCAAAAACTCAAAGTGAGGCCCTTGCTTCCAAATCTTTTTTACATTTTTAATTCAAACCTCCATCCTTGCACTTTTAACGTTTGAAATAAAATATATATTTTTTTAATTAACTTAAATAAAAATATTATTATTGTAAATATTTTACAGTGGTCCAACTCTGCAGCATCTAAAGCAGCTGTGTCAAAAGTCTTTATTGAAGAAGACTGGACATGTCTCATGATGGCTGAAGCTAAACTGGGCTGACATAAAGTATGAAAGATTAAAAACAAAAAACACAAAATCATTTAATTTTAATTGTTAATTCAGTTTGTATACAATTTGTACTTATTTAACACAGAATTAATGCTGTTTTATATATATATATATATATATATATATATATATATATATATATAAAACAGCATTAATTCTAATATATATATATTAATACTAACTACTCATATAGTAACAATTTAAAATGTTCTTGCAACTAGTGATCCTGCATATGTGATCCTTTTAATGCATTTCTCTCTGTGGCTAATGCTGATTAAAAAGCCGTGTAGTGTCCATTGATCAAAAGCAAGTGCAGCGCATTGATCTGTTTCTGAACAGCTTGCTTGTGTTCATCCAAGCTCATTTAAACCAGATCGTTTATACAGCCTGAAAAGTACATTAGTCCTGTACCCACTTATGAACAAGTTTATGAACGTCACCGCACACATCTTTAATCCCAGAACCTATGATTTTGACCCTGAAGATTAGTAATATGAAAATACAGTGAAATCAATGTAGATGTGAGAGAGTATAGAGCGATTCATTATGAGCAGCTTCAATACTGAGCGATCAACTTTTTATTAAAGCAACATCGATAGACGCTGTAATGGCGTTTGGAGGAAACGTTATAAAACTCACCGCTGTGAGTCAGAATCTGATCCTGAATCAGATGCAAATGGACTTTGATTACCCCATTAGCCCCAGATAATTCAACTTCAGAAGGATGAATAAATACACCAGAAAAAAAAAGAAATGACTTCATTATGCTAAGACCAATCAGAGAGAAGGATTACATGGAGCGTTTGTTTTTACTGGCTGATCGGAACTGAAGTGTCTGCGCCTGGATTCAGCCAGAAATACTTTGAGAGAGAAAAGGTGGATATTCAAGGGGCTGCCGGCAGAAACAAGTAAATGAATAATTGAAGTTAATTTTGTTAAGCGTGTTCAGTGGTGATGTTAGTGAATTCCTCCATGTAACACTTTTTTAACATGATAAGTTTAATAAACAATTCAATTATCACTGAAATACGGCCTTGTTTTATTTTGTGAGTAGAAACTTCAAGAAAAATGGAAAACAAGGTTGACAAAAAAAAAAAATGTCCAGGGGAGGGATGTTGGGCCTTTCATGTCCCCCATTGACGTAACCATTTGACTCAATGGTGTGAATAAAATCAATTTTTTTAAAGAAACAAACTCGTTTATTTTGTAAAGTCCATGGTTTGATTTTTGATTCTATCTCCTCTTATAAATCACTATAAAACTAAAAGATTCCACATGTCATGACATCAGAAGACAAAAGTTCTAGAAAAAGTGTTTTGCTCAAATGGCATTCTGCAAAACCATGCTAAAATGTAACTCTGCAGTTTAGTTTCTAACAAAAACTTGTCATGGGTAATTACAAAAAAAAGAGCAAAATGTAATAATTAAAAATGTTAGAAGCCCCATACTTTACTCCTTGTCCCTTCACCACTCTTATGTGAACATACAAAAGAAAGAAGCTGCACAATACACAATACTTTTCCATCCATGTTTGTGCTTATTTATATTTTGCTCTTCTATATTTTGAATTTCTGTTGCCCTTGATGGAGATAAATATACGTAGTGGTAATGAAGCCCTAGTGTGGGAGGTCTGGGGCTCTGTGGTTCATAGAGGCGCAGACATCCAAGACATACTCGCACAACATCCCAGGAACTCAGCCTACAGAAATAGCTCAGAGATTTCCACATTTTATTTTTGTCTGAGGATATATTTGAATGCAAATGAATATGGAGGAATGGAGGTTTTGTTTTGTGGAATTGGTGTTGTGGATGCTTTCTTCCCCATTCTTCTGCATTTTTCTCTTCATCCTCCAAATGACTGCCATTAAGGCAGGACAGGCTCGAGCCAAACGTAGAGATCTACTTAATGTGATTTCCTCCAGAAGGGAAAAAAACAAAGGAAGAAGTGATTCATTATGAAGAAAGGGAGACAAACCACTCATTCAAAGGCTGTCCACCTCCAAATGATGTTTAACGCAAACACTGAGCACATTCACAGCAGTGTTTATTCACCCAAACACAGAGAGGATGAGCATCAAAGAGATGAAAGAAACATTGAAAATCAAAGATTCTTTCTCCATTAGAACAGGATTACGGTGGTTAAGAATGTTGTGTTGAACTCAAATAAACCCACTCTCATAATCTAGGCATATTGCAACTATGAAATCTCATGCCACGCTAATATAAAAGACGTCTAGTGATCTGACAAGCTAGTGAAAGAGACACAGGAACTGGTTTCACTAGCTGAGATGTCTGCAGTGCCAGCTTTCAGCAGCCGTATCGACAGAATTGAGTTTGACAGACTTGTTGAGTGGCGCTGATTGGCCCGGCTCCAGAGACACGCTAGAGCAAAAGACTGTGTATAACACCAAAGGCAGGAGAGCAGAAGGGGAGGATGCTGTGGCCGCACAGATTGGCCTCCCCAACAGCAGCAGTGAGAACATGAGATAAGACGTCGAGCGAGGGGGAAGAAATGGCCAAAACAGAGGTGTGAGGCCAGGCTGCCATCTGAGGAGGTGATGAAAAAGAGGGCTGAGAGTGTTAATGTTAGCATGTGCATCACACACATGCTCACACTCCAGTCTGGGGATGTAAGCAACATGTGCAGGAGATAAAACGAGTACCATGGTTAAAGCAGCATCTGCAATCCTTTTGATTGTTCGGTTTTATAAAAGAAACTGTGTAAATAAGTTGTTGCCAGCTGATAAAACAAGATTTTTTTAAATAAAATGCAGACTGGTCAATGTAGGCTATGCAAAATGAAATAGTCTTCATAATAGAATTGCAGGGAAAAAAAAGATCACCCACATGTAACATGGAGTACACTGCATAAAATAAATCCAATACTCTAACAGTGTCCCATACTTTCTTTACTTCTAGAACGAACTACTGCAATGGACTCTATTACAGCATCAGTCTAAAATGGAGCTGCCTCAAAGTACCTCTCTCAGTCACTCAGATCAGCCAACCAGCTGCTTATGAACATCCCAAAAACAAGACGGAAACAGAGGGGGGATTGGGCCTTTGTTGTGGAAGCACCAAGGCTTTCGGATGAACAAAGCAGGCCCCATCCTGGTCTGTTTTTAAATCTTTTTTAAAGAGTCACTTATTTTCATTGGTGTTTTTTATAGCTCCAACCATGTATAATGGGTCAACGAAAGCACTAGGTTTTGTGCAGTAAAATTAGCATCCACAGTGGTGTCTTGGACCAATTTCTTTTCCCTTATGATCTTCCACAGAAACTGTGTCAACAGGGTCACTGGGGAAACCCCTACTTGCACCTCTTGCACAGGTTTCCTGTGGCTCCGTTGGTAGAGCATTGCACTAACAATGCAAAGGTCATGGGTTTAAATCCTAGGGAAAGCAAGAACAGACAAAAATGTGTTAATTCATTCAAAATGTAAGTCGCTTTGGAAAAAAAGTCTGCCAAATGCATACATGTAGACGTTCTTCCTGGGACAGCAGTTGATCAGTGCATGCTGTCGGTCATGATCAGCACAAAATATCCCTGGAGTCAAGAAGCAAACATTTGGATCCCCATGAACACTGCTCTTAGCTATAGTCAGTTAGCTCAAATTTAGTCTAGACCCACGCACTGTGCCCCACCCTGATTGGAGGTATCCGTGGTCGGCACCATCCCCTTCTGAGCTCCGGTGCAGAGGTTACAGGATGACTCACATCCATAGTTGCCCTAGGTGACATGCCTAGGAAGGGGTTGAGCCAATGCTGAAGTTCTCTTATATGGAGTAGTCTGAGTGCACCCACTGCAGCTACTGAAGGCCATATTACCCAGGAGCCTCTGAAAAACCTGCAGAGAGACCACAGAGAGGCATGCCCATATCGCCAACAAGTTCAACTCCAGAACAAGAAATTAGATGACCAAGAAATTAGATGACGATCCTTCAAGACCGGTCAATGGTTCCCATAGTGGAGTCGCGTATTTGCGTACTGTTGGCCAGGTTTCATTAAATGGTAGACTTACTGAAGGGAAACCCATCCTTGTTCTACCCAACACCACCATGGACCTTAAGGTTTGAAGTTGGTGGCAGTCCAAGGATTGTGTGGTGACTCCCAAGGCCCTGGGGTGCCACCACCCTTGTTCATACCTGAAGGACCTTGGCTTGGAAAACCTGTGAGCTGGCCGTGGCATGCAAAGCAGAAGCCATCAGGGCAGATGAAACCTTCCCAGGTTAAGATACTCCGACAAGTCTTCCAAGGACATAAATGTACCGCCACACCCTGCTCCACTTAGGACATCGGTGTGTAGCCCCAGACTGCTCTACCATTGAGAGCGGTGATAAAGGAGGAGCTCAAGCACTGGGGGACAACAGGGAGATTTCTCTCGCCATACCTCTATGAAACAGTCATGTAACCGTAAAGGCGAGCAGAGGGGTCTCCAACCTGATAGCCTCAGCAGTCTGAGAAAGGATTTGTGCTAGGAAGCAGAAGTGAGCCTGCCAACATCTGAATTAACTGCGCCTTCTCCAATGCAATAATGGACAGTAAATTATCTTTAGGCTCTCAGGAGCGGCTGGGCAATGCATCCATTGCATCATCGCCCACTCTGCATGCCGAACAAGAAGCTGGGTGAGAGTGAATAAACAAATCCCCCCCACACTTGCTGAACAGGCATCAGCCATCACTGCTTTCGGCTAAATCTCAAACAAAAGAATGCTCAGAATCAACCTTGAAGAACAAGTGCATATGCCTGAGCCCAGGCACAGCGTCTTCTTGAGCGCCATGTTGACTTACTGGAAACCCAAACACTCAATAAAACAGTAATTCCAATCTCTTAACGAGATAAAACCACCACATCCAGGTGAAGAACACACTCTTTCCATGCACTTCATCTTTAAAATTGATGCATTAATAGCAGAGGGAGCTTGGTATTCTGGTGAGGCACACTGACAATGGGACTCTTTAGCTGGAGCAGTACAGCTGGGCAGAATCCTGGGCTTCCTGACATTGCACTGGATTGCTTTTATCTTTCAAGAGTTTTCCACTTTTTTACAAACTGCCGAATTGTGGGATAAGCTTCTTTTTAGGCAAACGTGAGTGTTAAGGGCTTGTTTTTTATCACTATTTTAATTCCTTTGTGACATTGACATTTTTGACTTCATAGTTTATTGCATGGTTTCATCTACTGTGCAGTCTTATCTTCCCTGTTTGACTTCTTCGAAATGTACATTTTTCAGCTCATACTAAACAATGCTTTTTGTTTTGATGTTTATAGCTCAGCAGCATGGCCATATAATACTCAGTATATGATATCGATATAGATATTATGGCCAATATGCCAATGGTATTTTGCTAGATTTCTCTTTACGTGATTCCCTTCATTACAGTTTACAATTTTAGGCTGAATCAGTATTTATTAGTCTAGCCATAATTCTGTACAGTAAACAAGATAAATAGTAAACAATTTTTTGGGGGGTATTATACAATTTCAGGTGATAACAATTTGTATTGTTCTAAAGTAGAAAAAATAATATTCGAGTATTAATATTCTACTTTATGCCAACAAGTTGATAATAGTTAGCTGAACAGAAGAACTCTACAAATGTTCTTCTCTCATAGACCAGTGTACCCAGCGGCTGCCTGAGATGGCCGGAGACGAATGATACCGATCGGGAACCAAAGCTGCTCTTCTCAGCACAGCTAAAGGGTTGTTTTTGCTGTGTTTAGGTACTTGGCACACAGGCCAGAGGTTCTGGGAGTCCACGGCTCTGGCCCTGCAGCCTGCTACTGTAATGATTCCCAAGACTCCAGCTGCTGACCCTTGCAGTCCTGGCCATTCATTAGAGAAAGCCCAAATGAGTGAGAGTGACACCGAAAGAATGGACGAGTTACACTCTGTCCTCTTCGTTATCAGTGTTGGGATTCTTGGCCCCTAGGGCTGCCCACAGAGACTGTGAACTTCACACACACTCCATTATCTGAACGGCAGTGTGTCCCTGAGCATTCTGCAGGATGCTGGGAGCATTTATACCTCCTCCTCCTTCCCATCCCCACAAACACAGACTTGTTCTTTAATCTCTCAGGTTTATCACACACAGAGGGACACAGATTACCTCGGTTTAAGTTTAACATGAAGTCTCAGACAAACATGTGCCTGTAGATCTCACACATCAGAGCGAATCGCTTCGTACTGTTTGCATTTTCCCCTTTTCAGAACAGTCCTGGATTAGTGGGCTTGTAAAGGGGCATTGGAGACGGTGGATTCTGATATGGTCTGTAGTGGCACACTATCCTTTAGAGCCCAGTATTAATGATTTCTAATGCGGCTAAACGCTCCAGTACTGGGGACGAGCAACTCTCCCTTTGACATTTCTATTTGTTGAGTTTAGCAAGACGACAACTTAGCTTATCTCTGTTCCAGGCCTATGCCAGGGGGAATCTCCCAAAAGCCCAAGCGCATTATTAGAGATGCTTATACTATTTGTCTGTTCTTCATTTCAGCCCTTCACGCATGCTCACATTTCTCGTACAAGGTTGCATCATGCTTAAAGCAATAAGCCTCTGGCCTACAGAAAAGTACTAAATCCACTGTAAAAATTAGATGTACAATAAAGGATAGAATGAATTATTGCCAGTGAAAGCTACAGTCTTACATTGTATGGTTTGAAACAATTGTTTCCCATTTTATTTAAAGAATATTATTCTTATTCCTCCATTTGGTAAAAAAAAAAAAAAATCACATCCTTGAGAAATCTGCTCCTATATTTTATATGTCTGCAAAATAGATTTGAGGCCACTTGTTCAGGAAAACAGGAGGTGGAAACCAGTGCTAAATTTTTCAAAACACACGTAACTCCAGGCCTGGTCCAATCTCATCTTGTACTACTGCCTCTGCATCTGTTCCTTGTGGAGCTCGGCCCCACATACCTGGCTGTCAATTTTGCATTTTGTGTATTGCATATAAATTAAAAGAGAGAGTAGTGCCGGGACTGGAAGCCTGCCACTCTTAAACACATTCAACTTCTAGTCTTGTGTCCTTTTAACATTTGGATTAAGTCTTATGTGCAGATCGGGGTTTTTAATGTTTGTTCAGAACGCAAAGGCCCGCTTACAGGCCTAGGAAAATGTCAGGATTTCTCTGTCCTCTGATTGGTTGATAATGACTAACAGCGAGTTCACTGAGCACTTATCAGCTCTTTGCAAAGAAATCTTTGGACATAACCAACAGTTCCGCGGTCAGAGGTTTTAAGTAGGGTACAAATCAAGAGAGTCTTGTTTTGCCTGTGTTCATGAGTCTGATACCTAGAAATAAAAGAAATAAATCATAGAAATAAACGTTTATTTAACTTCGAAAGGTTGTACTTTATTATTATGGCATTATCATTTTATTTTATCATAGCTGAGGCAAATAATCACCCTTCAAATGTTGCCATTATGACAGACTTACGTTGCATTTTGTGTAGAAGTGATAAAAGCTGACAAACGCAGGACTGAGGGGTAAAGTAAATCCAAAATAAATACATATTTGTCTACTATTCCTCATACCACACCAGAATATTAATGCAGACCTATTTTATCAGAGTGTGTCACATCTGTCTGCAGGCACATGCAGTGCAGCGAGAGTCTGAAGCCAGACTCTGTTCTCATTCATTCAATCAGGGATCTGTGATAAGATCAGCTCTTTCTTTTTGTCTCCCCCTCCGGGATCTAGCCGGCCTTTTCTTATTAAAACTTTATTTATTTGCTATTTTCAAGGTTCTGGAATTAATTCCCACTACTTAAAACATTCAAGTAAAAAGCAATATTTTTTGTTTCTGTCTTGGTTGTCAAAATCAGTCAGAAAATGTGGATTTAAAGCAACACTTGTTTGCTCTGAGCCTGATCTAATCCAGAGAACCCCGGGATAACTACTCGGTTCACAAACTGTTCAAAATTAGTGCCAGTCATGGACTTTAAGAAGGCCTTTGACATTAACATTGTGGGGGACAGTTATTTCTAAATGTTTGCCTCCCTAAATACCTTTCAAATTGGAATTGACAAGGATTACGTTTGTTCTGGAGAGACACAGCCAACTTCAAATCATCAAGCAATCACCAATTCCGACGACGCTCCATCCAGGAAGCTACTGTTCAATCACTGCCTTCGTCCAATCATCCTCAAGCCCTCCCTGCACCTCCAAAACTGTGTGTCTTCAAATCTTGATCTTCTCAAAGCAGTTTGAATCGCATTGATAGAGGAAAAAGAAAATACATTTTACACTTTATTGCTTTCAACCTTCATGATTCACTGCTATTCACACAGTAAACAATGGTTTGCACTGGGTGCTGAAGTGCTGGAAGGTCTGTCTTTTTAGAATGTACATGCAATCCGTGACTTTGAACAGCATTTTCCCTTTCATAGACGGAT